TACAGTCGCCTGGCGACTCTGAAATGGGAAATCAAAAAACCTTAGATATAGAAATAAGATATGACTTAGTTGATACCCTCGTATCTGGGCAAGATGTAATCATAACGGGTATACTTAAAATGCGTTCATTAATCGACGAACAAAATACATATCCCAATTCCGCTGAGCCTGCGTGTAAAATCTATATGAAAGCAGCCTCCATAATAGATGCAAAGAAGTTGGGCCACAACTTTACTCAACGTGATCTCGACGCAATTTCAATGATAAACTCAGAACCAGACAGTTTTAAGCTTCTGGCACATTCCGTGGCGCCAGAGCTGCATGGCGAAGAGTTGGTGAAAGCAGGTGTGTTACTATCACTTTTTGGTGGTGCTGGCTCACAAATACACAATGATTCAGAGATTAATGTGCTATTGGTTGGCGATCCGGGCATTGGCAAATCACATTTACTAGAAATGAGTGCAAAAGTTTCGCAGAGAGGTAGGTCACTACTTCAAATTTTGGAGATTTAAATTATTCCGAATTAATTTGTCATATTTCACACCCTTTGTTCTTTATATATAGGTACGCTGCTCAGTGGCAAACGTTGTTCGCCTTCTACGCAATCATTAACCACAACGCTTCAAGGCCGCACAAATCACATTGTCAACTCTGGCGCGCTTATTACTTCCAAAACTGGCCATTGTGCAATCGATGATCTTGATCGTTTAGCTTCACAGCAAGACATTCTATTGCAATTGATGCAATGTAAAACTGTTTCATTACCATTGCCTAATATATATACAACTATTGCGATGCCCACGTCCGTTATTGCTGCTGCCAACTCACTGCGTGGTCATTACGATCGTTCACGGCTACTGACAGAAAATACACGTTTGAACAATTCATTGCTGCAGCAATTTCACTTAATATTTTTGCTATTAGACAAGTCCAATAAAGATTTGGATACGTCTTTAACGGAACACATCAAAGCAATGCATGATGGCGTAAAGAAAAGCTCTGCGATTGCTTCACGGTTCGCTATGAAACCAAAAGGAAATAATTCAATGAATATTACCATCAGCGATGATGAACTGGACGATGACAATTATGATTTGAGTGATCGTTTAAAATTAAAATATATAGAATTTGAAGAGGAGAAATTGGATTTACTGCCACCAATATTATTGAAGAAGTTTATCGGTACATAGCTTTTATATGTTGTAAGTTTGCTTTTGTAATCAGCGATTACTTCTTTGAATTTTATANAAATTTGGATTTACTGCCACCAATATTATTGAAGAAGTTTATCGGTACATAGCTTTTAGATGTTGTAAGTTTGCTTTTGTAATCAGCGATTACTTCTTTGAATTTTATAGCATATGCTCGCCAACATATGCGTCCATTATTAAGTGCTGAGTCTGCCGAAACTTTAAAATCCTTTTATATGGGTTTGCGAGAGAAAGGAGATGAAGAAAATCGTTGCACTGTGAGTACAAGGTAAGTACACATTTTAATTAGAACACTGCTTGTTTGAATTGTAATATATTTTTTACTTGATATGGAAGTGAGCTTATGTTTTTTTTTATTTAGTTACTATATTTATGATAGTTCTGTAAAGCTAACGGAGATCGGAGAGCCAACTTCAACGGCAACTTGTCTCCCAGCTATCACCCTTCTCGGTGGATAATTTCAGGAGCTGAAAGTCCTTCCAAAAAGGCTGCGAGAGTCAAGAGACTTTCTTCTTTTCATTTCTTTCCCCTTTCTTTTTGGTATGAAGTTATACACATTTCTTTCCTACCCATTATAAGTACTTTTGTCGGGCGCATTTTAAAACGCCTTTTGGAGAAGCTCTTTTTAACTGATAAACAAGGTATTATTAAAGATTCATTTGAAGTATGTTTTATTGCAGCTTAAAATGCACTTTGAAATTGATTTGTAAAAATGTATACATTCGCGTCAATTGTAAATAGGTAAAGTGCTTCTAAAAGGCATGTAGGGAAGCTTTTTTTCTGCCCTTGGGTAAGCCTTTAGAATGGCTTCACTTAAAAAGGCCACCTACCTAAATTATTTTCTGGGTTCTTAATGATAGTACGTCTCAATTAGAGATTTTATTGCAAATCATGAACAGGATTCACTGTATGCAAATATGTTACCCTGTGGTATATTAGCAAAAGGTCGAGTATCCAGTACTTCTGATTCCTACCTTTAAAAAATATATATTGTGGCCATTGTATGTTTTTCCCGTTTTGTAGAATATAAAAATATCTCAATGTTTATTTCTGTTAAGAGTATTTTATTATCACTAATGAAATAAAGCAAAGACACGTAATGTACTTAAAAATATGTATTTTTATAAATAAAAAGCTTTTAAATCTTAAAATTAACAACTAAAAAAGTTGGTATACTCATTCGCTGGGTATTGAAGCTATTTTTGAGCTAGTCTTTTAAATCGAAATTACGGGTCATGATGTTCATATTCCCTGGGCAATTTGGCAAGCGACATAATCATCTTGATTTAGAAAAAAAATCTAACGCATAAGTTTCAGCAATGCTGATGTAGGCAATTCAACCAGAATGGCTAACAGCAGTGAAAGTAAATAAGAAACTACCAACGTAGATAGTATAAAGGAGAACTGAAAAAGAACAGAGCCAACTTTTATAATATAATGACACCTAAAAGATTGTTAATTTATTTACCATAACCTCAGGGCCAAAGAAAAGTGGAGTTCTCAACGTGCCCAATACAAAGCGCGCTACAAAAATGTGTATCACGAAGGCGCCATACGTCAGACGACCTAAAATACGGAAAATAGGCAAACAAGAAAATTTGCGGAATAAACCTGAAATGAAGATACATAGTTAAAAGATTAAGTTATCGTTTCTAGAAGATCACATTCATAAGTTTCTAAATATATAACTCACCTCCAACTTTGCAAGCCATGCCCACCACGAATACGCCCAAGGCTAAACCCCAATTATTGCGTTGTATGGCAGCATAGACACTATTCCAAAAATGTGGTTGCTCCTCATAGTAATGCTGATAGATAGGATGAGCCGATAAGAGCCAAAGAATACCAGCCGGAATAAGCGCATACCAAAGGCATTGAAACACTTTGGATTTATGCAGTTTAAATTGTTTGCTAGAAATTTCATCGTAGACAATGGCGGCAAGTACGCCACTGAAATAACAAGCGAAATTCATATGAAATGGCGCATAGAATTCGCTGAACTCGCGATCATCTATGAACGAGTCTTTTTGCGTTCTGTGACAAGTGATGAAATTACATAAAAAGGATTAATATGCACACGTTAATAAGGTACTTGGTTAACTTCTTAACTTACTGTGGCGAAGGCACAAAAAAGGGATCGTAATTGCCGAAATAGGCAATAAATCCTGGCAGTACATAGAAGAAACCGCCAATGCAGCCGAATAGCCAGTTACGAGTGTGGGGATATCTGGGTGGAAGAAATATGATTTTTATAGTTACTAATTCTTGTTTACGTAGTGAGGCAGAAGAAGGACTTACTTATGTGCGATCATTAATATGAGCAAAGAAATCATAAATGAGAAAGTATCGGATGCCAAATACCAGCTCTGAAGCATACACTGTGAGAAAGGAAAAGAACAAAAATTATTTTCTTTTTCAGTTCGCAAAAAGCTTTAAATGTTAATTTTTAAACAAATAACACAATAAAAGTTATCACAACTTAAGTTACCACATCATTGAGCCAAGCTAAATTGAATACTTGTAAAAATAAATCCTTAAGCAGCTGCACTTAATTTACCTTCTCATTGTTCCTGTAATAGTTATTGATATAAAGCAAATTAGCCCACCAATTCTTGCGACAAGCCAGCTGCTCACGTTCAACAATATGTCGCCAAAGTGGCCCGCCGTGATTATCAAAATATACGCCACTCAATAGGATAACAAAAGCATATGGAATGGTTAAACTGAAACAAAAGAAAGAAATAAAAAAACGAAAANCCTGAAATTTAAAAAATTTAGTTATCGTTTCTAGAAGATCACATTCATAAGTTTCTAAATATGTAACTCACCTCCAACTTTGCAAGCCATGCCCACCACGAATACGCCCAAGGCTAAACCCCAATTATTGCGTTGTATGGCAGCATAGACACTATTCCAAAAATGTGGTTGCTCCTCATAGTAATGCTGATAGATAGGATGAGCCGATAAGAGCCAAAGAATACCAGCCGGAATAAGCGCATACCAAAGGCATTGAAACACTTTGGATTTATGCAGTTTAAATTGTTTGCTAGAAATTTCATCGTAGACAATGGCGGCAAGTACGCCACTGAAATAACAAGCGAAATTCATATGAAATGGCGCATAGAATTCGCTGAACTCGCGATCATCTATGAACGAGTCTTTTTGCGTTCTGTGACAAGTGATGAAATTACATAAAAAGGATTAATATGCACACGTTAATAAGGTACTTGGTTAACTTCTTAACTTACTGTGGCGAAGGCACAAAAAAGGGATCGTAATTGCCGAAATAGGCAATAAATCCTGGCAGTACATAGAAGAAACCGCCAATGCAGCCGAATAGCCAGTTACGAGTGTGGGGATATCTGGGTGGAAGAAATATGATTTTTATAGTTACTAATTCTTGTTTACGTAGTGAGGCAGAAGAAGGACTTACTTATGTGCGATCATTAATATGAGCAAAGAAATCATAAATGAGAAAGTATCGGATGCCAAATACCAGCTCTGAAGCATACACTGTGAGAAAGGAAAAGAACAAAAATTATTTTCTTTTTCAGTTCGCAAAAAGCTTTAAATGTTAATTTTTAAACAAATAACACAATAAAAGTTATCACAAC